GGCACAAACACCGACTGGCCTCCAAGCTCGATCTCTAAAAGGGCTGAAAATGCATGAAGTTCATGCTCTCGCCGCTGAAGCTCAGACAGCCCGCGCGTCTCTCTCGAAGGAGAGCGCCTCTCCGACCGCAAACCATTCATGCGTGAAGTGCCCCGGTGTACGCTTGCCGCCAAGTGCTCAAAAGACGTTGGTAATGGACCCGTGCGCGGATGATGCGCTCGACCCGACAACGAAAAAGGAAAAGCGAGTTGAATCGAGCAGTAAAGTGTCAAGGCCTCCCGAGACTTCCTCACTTATAGAATCGGTCGTTGTGTGCCATGGGTTCTGGACGACTGAGGCGAAGTCCCAATCTGAGCTGGCTTCAGAGGAGACAGAGCGTGACACGTTTAACAGTGGCGAAAAGAGAAAGAAGAAGCGCATCCCGCGTGTGAGCATTTTGGACTTGAGCTGATTTTTGCCTACTACAAAGTTGACTTATTGGCATTCAAATTGGGGTGTTCAGGCGTCCATGGGGGATACCAAGGATACTGGAGTCTAATTTACGGTTCATTTGGTTGTTGGTTGTTATCATTTGGCTCTATAATTTAAGTACATATCCCTTCGTAACACATGTCGCAGTATTTGCGACGATGAAGAAATCATAATAAGATTGGAGAGTATCTTCAAGCAAGCAACAGTGGAGGCGCCCACCGACGGCAATTTGAAACAAATGATTGCGGATGTCCCATCGTATATGACCATTCCAGTCTATAGGGAATCCAAGGTGTCTGTCCTTGTACACCTGTCAAGGAAAAGTAACGAACCGATGTATAAAGTGGTATAAAGATGAACTACACGAGAACAGTGAATAAGGGCATCAGAGGAAAATTAACAGGCCTGACCTCGACATTCCTAGGAAAGAGGTATATGTCTATCAAGGTCGCATAGAAAGAGCGAGCAAAGTTAACCGAAAACTTTCAGGAACCCCCACAGCCCAATTCCACTAATAACTGGGATAGTGAAGTTATCGTCCCAGTTGAACAGGTCCACGAACTCGCTTCCGGCGGCGATAATACCGGAAACAACACTCATGACACCCAGTGCCAACGGGCCGGAGATGACCCCGCGCGAGGAATCGGAATCGGCGGTCCAACCAAGGAGACCTCTGATAGAATCCGGGAGTAGATTCAGACGGCCGGTGAACATGAACGAGCCCTCGGGATCGTTGGGAAAGGTCCCGACATGGGGTACGAACCAGCCCCAGAAGGCAGCGGCGGTGACGACGCCGACGGCCCAGGCGGCCAGGGTACCAGCAAAGCTCTTGCCGTGGCGCAGTTGGAACGTGCGCCGGCCGTAGAGACGGCCGAAAGTGGAGGCTGCAGTGTCGCACCAGCTGAGGAGGAGGACGCCCATGACCGCAACGTCCTTGGGGAAGAAACGCAGAACGCTGTATGCGCCCAGTAGGTACCAGATCACGCCGTTGTACCCTGACACTTCTGTTTCCCGCATGAGCGCGCCAGCGCAGCGAATGTAGAATTTATTGAAAGTCTCGGAGCGATGGCGGATAATGTCTGTCGCGGCGATGGGGACGAGAGCGGAGAGCAGCCACGGTGTGATTTGGAGAGTTTGGACGCCTCGGCTATAGAGATAAAGGGTGAGAAAGCCGATGGAGCCATGGAGGAACTTGCGCGGTATCTCGTGACGATGGATGAAGCTGCGGTAACGAGTGTGGAGGGGGATCAAGCCCAGAGGTGAGGGTGAACGAGAGATGTCGTGCCCGCGGCCTTTGCCCAGGGCGGAATTCGGTGACAGGAAGTCGGTGGGCGATATGCGGCCGTTGGTTTTCAAAGGCTCCGGCCTCCTGGCCGGTATCATGGGATTGGATCGCCGTGTGCGAGTTTTGCGAGCAGGGGCTGTTGGGCTGCGACTGCGAGACCTGGCCGGCGACCGACTCGAGTCCGTATCCACGTCTTCGCTTCTCTCCTCGGATACATCTACCAGACGCTGGCGTCGCGCTGCCGACCGAGTCCTCGGTCCGGCATAATCATCCCGTGAGCTTGACTCACTCGATGGTACAGGCGAAGGAGATATGACTCGGGGAGTTGCCGGGACGTCGTCGGTAGAAGAGGAGGGCATTTCGACCGCTCTTATAGCGAAAGGCGGAAGGGCTGGAGCCGCTATCAGCCCGGACAGAGGTCGCTGGCGCAGATAGTTGTAGTCGCAGACAAGCGCGTCAAGAAAGAGAAATCTGTCAGCTGCAAACGACGCAATGATGGGCGGCTAGATGATGAACGAGGTGTATGTGTCTGTGGAAAGGAAAGCTGGTTTATCGCGTGAGACGTTGGCAAAGACCCAAGGCAGAAATGCGGCTGCGCATGTTTCTGTAAATTTAGAGAGAGATCGGCATGGTCACTAGACCAGCAAAAAAGACAGCAGTGACAAATGAATATCCGAGAAAATAGGAGCACTCGGTAGCGACTCGAAAGCGATTGCAGATCAGATTTTTTAATCGAATATTTTTGTGTTCGTCGTTTGCGTTTTTTCTCTTCGTTTTTTATTTCTGTCTGGTACCTTTCTTTTTAGGCTTGTGATTCCGCCGAATCCGCAGGCGATCACGTGCAAATTGGCAGAAAATCCTCACCGCCTCAATATCTAATCGGCGATCGTTTGATAAGCTATTTTTTTCTGCCATCAGCATCAGTCTGGGCAATCGTTGCTGATCGTCGGGTCGAATTGAAGGTTCCGATTCTGCACTCGGCTGCTGTCATGGCTCCAAAACCACCTTCAGGCACTTCGTCCAGAGCCTGGGATGCAGCGACACCAGCCTTGTCAGAATGGGTGTTAGAGGCAATGTCCTCAATGGGCTTCGCCCGGATGACCCCAGTGCAAGCATCCGCTATTCCTCTGTTCATGGCGCATAAGGATGTCGTAGTGGAGGCAGTCACTGGCAGCGGAAAGACGCTGTCTTTCCTGATCCCGGTGGTAGAGAAGCTTTTGCGTCTCGAAGAACCCATCAAAAAACATCATATTGGAGCGATCATCATCTCACCAACAAGGTAGGCATTGATTTTAGGGCGCGCGGCAGCCAGAACAGCGGAAGAAGCTCGATGCTGACTCTGTGTGACCAGGGAACTTGCATCCCAGATTTACAATGTACTATCATCATTACTCGCCTTCCATCCTCCTTCAGCCGCTGCGATCAACCCCTCCGAAGACGACGATGCGCCACGACCTAAGTTCCCCTCATCTACTCTCAAAGTCGTTCCGCAGCTCCTCCTCGGCGGTTCGACCACTCCTGCGGAAGATTTGAGTACGTTCCTGAAGCGGTCACCGAACGTGTTGGTCTCCACGCCTGGACGGCTTCTGGAATTGCTTTCTTCCCCTCACGTCCACTGTCCTCAATCCTCGTTCGAGATGCTGGTTCTGGACGAGGCCGATCGATTGCTAGACCTGGGATTCAAGGAGACTTTGCAGAACATCCTGCGCCGGCTTCCCAAACAGAGACGAACCGGTTTGTTCAGCGCCAGTGTTAGCGAGGCCGTTGACCAGATTGTCCGAGTTGGTTTGCGAAATCCTGTCAAGGTCATGGTCAAGGTCAAGGGTGGCTCAGGCGTTGACGATAAACGGACTCCGGCTAGGTTGGTACCTCTCTACTTTATGCTTGAACAGCGGTCTAACTCGATTGTACCAGTCTGCAAATGACCTATCTTACGACACCCCCCTTGCACAAATTCGCCGCTCTGAAACGTATCCTTTCTTCAGTTCAGCCCACTCCCTTGAAAACGATTTTCTTCGTCTCTACTTGTTCGGGTGTTGATTATTTGTCCGCAATCCTCCCACTGCTGCTCGGCGACGATTTCCTATTGGTTCCACTGCACGGCAAACACCAGGCAAATGTCCGCCAAAAGAACTTCAACCGCTTCATCAACTCGCACGATCCGGCCATCCTTCTCACCACCGATGTTGCTTCGCGTGGACTGGATATCCCGTCCGTCGATCTTGTCGTCCAGATTGACCCTCCATCAGACCCGAAGTCATTCATTCATCGATGCGGTCGTGCTGGAAGAGCCGGCCGGAGGGGTCTGAGTGTAGTACTTTTGCATCCCGGACGAGAAGAAGATTATGTTTCTTTTCTAGAAGTTCGAAAAACACCTGTTGTTCCATTCTCTCCATCGATCACTTTCTCCGATGCCGATGCGGCCACTGCCACGTCCACTGCCCGTAAGGCTGTGTTGGCTGATCGTGCGCTGCATGATCGAGGCCAGAAGGCGTTTGTCAGTTGGTTCAGAAGCTACAGCAAGCACCAGGCAAGCAGTATCTTCCGTGTCGCTGACCTTGATTGGGAAGCTTTGGGCAAAGCATGGGGTTTATTGAAATTGCCTAAGATGCCTGAGTTGAGGAACTTCACCGGTGACAGGACACTCGGCGTGAGCCTTGACTGGGACAATTATGCATACAAAGACAAGCAAAGGGAAAAACGACGGAAGGAGCTTCTGCAGGAGGCCGCCGAGTCTGGTGCCACTCAATCCAAGTCAAATAAGAGACGAGCCAGCGAGAGTGTCGCATGGAGCCAACAAGCCGAGTCGAAGAACAAGAAGCTCAAGCGACGTGAGCAGAAGAAATCGAAGCAAGAGAAGGCCAGATGGGAGAAGATGACGGAGGAAGAAAAACAGCAGGTTCTCGACACGGAGAAGATGGTTGAGGTGCTGAGGAAGAAGAACGAGGAAGAAAGACGACTAAGACGAGCAGCCGCCAAAGCCGCAGGCACGAAGGCTGATGGTGATGACGACGAAGAATTCCAGGGATTTGATTGAGATACCTCGCATATGTGCACTATATCCGTTGCTTTGGATGATCTTGATACCTGAATTGTATAGCTATAGCCCTTCCTCAGGAGGGAAGCACCAGCCTTATACTTCCGTGTACATACAAAACAACTTTTCTGAAAAGCCTTCTCACCCTTCTGAAGATACTTTTCCTGGCCCTGTGACTCCATTTCGACTGACCCATGCCTGAATAACTCAACCACTCGTAGAAGACTTCTCGTCCAGGCCAAGAACTATCTGCGTTCCCCAATCGGGACCGGACCCTCCAGCCTCTTTGGCATGATCTCGTGTCTCATCCTCCTTTCGAGCTCTCACCTCCCCGTTCCACCCATTTAATGCTTCTTCCTCCACCACAGGCCCAGCCTGAACCGTCCGCACTTCATCAACCTGCGCGCACCCCGGCACCGCCGCACCACGCCCATCAGCAACCAACCCTCCTCCCGACTCAGCCTGCACCAACAACGACTGTATCGACAAGTCTGAAGAACACGAGCCCGGCACGCTCGGCCCCGCCTCGTCTCTCCCTCCCGCATCCCCAGCAGTCCCCAACGAACCCGTACTCTCCTCACCCATCGGGAGCAACAAATCCCCAATCGAGATCCCTCCCCCGACAAGACACGGATCAAGAGGCATCGCCTGCTGCACCGATTGCTGAGACGGCGATGCCAACTGCGGGCCCCCAAATCCCTGTTGTTCTGGGTATCCCACCAGCCCAGGCGTATCCGATCCACCAAAACCCGCGGCCCGGCTGCACAGAGCGCAGAAGCGCCGTCCGACGCCGCGAGCGATGTACCGGATAGGACAGACTTGGATCAGGGGCGTGGGGCTTCCCGGTGCAGCGAAAACGCGCACTTGTGGGCAGGGCTGGATGAGCTGGAGGTAGGTGCAGGTGCAAGGGGGTTTATTAGGCATGTAGTAGCACATCGCCTATGCTTCGGTGGTTTGTGGATAGAGCTGGTTTCACGACGATGGTGAGCTTAATGGGTCTGATGTCTCTGGTGAATTACTGATGATGAATGGTAGAAGCTGCTTAGAGGGAAGGTGAGAGGGATGGAATAGCATATATAGTGAATCGGATGGCGGCATGTATCCATTGTCTTGTTAATGCAATCTTCTCTTTGTCTACCGATAAAGGACGAGTACGGCTTTGTTAAAAGAATGATTCCTTCTCAAGGGGTTGAGGCGGTCCTTGCAGACAAGGAACTGAACATGCCATTAATGGATTATGAAGATCTCAGGATCAAACTCATGCAGGTGCCATCACAAAGGCAGACTGAATCAGTCAATCCGATGCAGATAGGACAGATGCGAATACTGTTTCCATTGCCAGGTTCAACGCGAAAGCCAACCTCAAAAGCGCCGCTGGCTGCAAAGGTAAATCAAAATCTCCTGCTTATGCCACATGCTTCGAGAAGAAAAAACAATGATGCACTGGACTCCGCCTGTGGAAAACAAGAGAACAAGACAGATTCGATCTCATAAATTTCATGAAAGACCTTCACCCGAGCAGGGCCTACAAACTCCAGTCTCAACAGTCTGGAGGAGGCCGCTGGAGGTTGCTCAGAGAATGAAACAAAACGCAAAACATAAACGACTTCCGCAGGCCCGCAGAAAAACACATTGAGACATTGTCTGGGCCCATCACAACTCCATAAAGTAGGAAGGAGGCCAAACAGGCTATGCTCAATAATCGGAAGATGGAAAACAAGAAAACACAGCAACATAATAATCATACAAACAAGAGGTATCAAGACAAAGCAAGACCATTTAGAACCTTTCAACACCCTGATGACACGACTCCAGCCTAGGTTTGAGCTTTCGTAAATTCCTCCAAACTTTGATGGAAAGCACGGTGAACTTCGTCCACAGCAGATGCGTCCCACACGCTGGCGACGAGCCGCACGATCTCATCATCAACACCCAAGCTCTTCTGAAGAGTATTCGGTTCCGGCCATTTAAGCTGCTGGAGATCTCCAGTTGAGCATTGCTCATAGAGCCATTGAGCATCACGAGCGAATTGATCATCGTCGCCGAAAGTCTCGACAGGTGGTTGTTGATTGACAACAGGCGAAGCGGTTAGAGGACTTGAGTAACGACTAGCAGTGCGGAGCCCACTAGGTGTTTTGGGTTTGTACTTTTCGGCCTGAGAACGGACTCTGGCGAGAGCTTCCTGATCAACTCTGGCTGGGGTAGACGGAGGCAACGCTTGGCGTGGAGTGGGACGTGGAGCAGGCGACTGTACACTACACCGCAAAGATCAATCGTTAGATGAATGGCAATGAGGCTTGAGTTGAAGGTGTCAACAAAATACCTTTCTTGTACTTCTGTACTGGTAGCGGTGGTTTGAGTCTCAGAGACAGACTTGGCCGCGGGGGTTTTTGGAGAAGGCGCGCCGCTCGACTCTGTATCATCAGAGAAAGCATCGTAATCCAGCTGGAACGTGCCTTGTTTGTTGGGAATGAAACCCGGAGACCGCTGAGGAGTAGAGAAATCGACGCGAGCAGCGGGATTTGGCGTTGCGGGCGCAGCGGCAGGGGAACCAGGCGCTGTAACTCGAGCAGCATCGCCCATGCCGATAAAGTGTCTTCCCGTATAGGGATCCGTGGCACGAGGACGCGTGCGAAGTTTAGAAGGAGTATCCTCGGGGCTGGCATCGAAACGCACCCTTTTCGATGGCCCTTGTTCCGACCGCATAGCACTGCGAACGGCAGATTTGACTAGAGCATCGGCTTTTGTAGGAGGTACAGCCTGCTGGGGTTGGACATCGGCTTCCTCTTCGCTGTCAGAGCTATAGCAGAAATAATCCAGGTCCAATCCATAGCTGCATCCGGCCGGATTGGGAATGACATCAGGCGAGGGGGACCGCTTGCGCTTCTTTTGAGTGGCGTCCTCAGTCGTCTGAGGCAAGGCCCGCTGTTCACTGACATCTGTCGCCTGAGAGGTCGATGGAGGTTGGTCCTGTGCCCCAGACGGCTTCTCTGCTTCATCGAGACGTGATTCTGCCTGAATGGCCTGGGAGGTTTTCTTAGGAGTAGTAGTCAGATCTCCAAGGAAGCGAGCACGGTCAATCGGAGCCGGGAAGAGGGAGTAGGACAAGGTGCGCTGGCGTTTGCTCGGCGGCTGCTCACTCAAGCGACGGCGAGAGCGTTTATCACTCTGGGTAGCATTCTGATTCGAGTCGACAACCTTGGTGTGAGAAGGACGCTCTGGCAACGGCTGGGAGGATGAGACTGGAGGCTCCTGGGACAATGGTCGCGAAGACGGCTCTGAAGGCAATTGTGGGGTGGGCGACGGCGCTGCAACTGGTGAGCCAGGCGCACGGAATCACCAACAAAAGAGTGAAAAGTAATAGGACGAGAAAACATACCTGGAGCTTCAGACGTCTGAGAGGACCGACCAAATCTTGGAAGCAAACGGGAGAAGGAACGAGGCACGGAGTTGATCAGTCCGCGAATGTTCCAACCACTTGCCTGAGGGGTAGAAGGAGGCTGGGCCGTGGCAGACTCATCTGATGGATCCTGATTGTCTGGCTTACTCTGCTTCTCGGTAGATTCGGTGTTCATCTGGAGAGGCTCCGGGCACGGCTGGACGGGGGTTGACTCCGCTGCCCGGCGGTCGGCTTCGTTCTGAGCGAGCAGCTGGGGGAGGCGGAAGACCGTCTTGTGAATCCGGCCTTGGTTCTCGATCGTCCGCCGCCGAAGCCGCTCGGAGTAGGGGGCAGCGTTGTACGTGATCCGCCGGGACAGCGGAGTCATGCGGCGCGCAAAGGGGGTGCTTCCGGGGGGTCCCACGTTCCGCCGCTTGTTGGACGACGGGGTTTCGACCCCGTCGTCACGGGGACGTTTTCTGTTCACTTTCCGAGGTGTTAGCCTCGTTTCCTCCTTGGCGGGCTCCTTGGCGGGTTCCTGGGCGGGTTCCTGGGCCTCCGCCTGGACTCTCCGACAACCCAACAACTCCAGCAGGTAAGGAGTAGCCGAGAGAGACAACGATGGTGAGTCGACGCTCTCTTTGATGGCACCAACACCCAAGCCTGAGCGGGGGCTCATCACCTCCGATTCCTCTGGAATCGGAGAGAGAGCCACACGCGCCCATCGCGCGGAATCCTTCCTCGCGGAACGGCTAACTTGACGTGACTTGTCAACTTCCGCGGCCGCCGGACGGGATTGCGAAGGGCCCGGGATCAACTCGGACACCTTCGCCGACACCAACCGCCCATCATTAAAGGTGGACGTCGCACCCGACTCAGTCGGGACATCGAAGGTCGCGTCCTGCTGGACTTGACCCGTTGATGCCGGCATAGAGCACAGCAACGGAGTCGCGGATGCTGCCGGCGTGTCGTCGTAGGCTGTATCCGCCAAGCACAATCCAGAGAAAATCTGGATCAGGGCAGCAACCTCGTTGTCAATTGACGACGACACAGCCGCAACAATCGACGGAATCGGGACCTCCTCGTCGCGATCGACAGGGGACAGAGGAGACAGGGAACCTTCGCGAGAAGATTCACCTGAGGAGATCCACGACACGTCGATTGGGGCGGTGTGTTCCTCAATGACCATGGGGGAATCATCGAGTTCCGAAGAGCACTGACCGCAGACCGACATCGGCGAACGGCAGTATCGCTCTTCCTCGAACTCTATCCCTTCCATGGCCACGAGGAACAACCGCGCAGCGATCGTTGACCCAGTTGAGGCCTCCGTCACGGCAGGTGGCTGGGTGTTGTACTCCTCAGAGGACAACAAGACGACATTTGCACCGGATCCACATTCGTCGGCCATGATGCTGTCCGAGTCATCTCTGGCAGCATTGTGCGCTGCAGCCAACTCCACTTGCTTGTGGCAAGCGAGGCAGTCATCAATGTCTGCCAGAAGAGACTCGTTAAGCACGAACCCGAGAGGGGGAGAATCCTCCATCTCGAGGTCCGGTGTGTGAGACCGTTCCGAAAGGGGCGACCCAATGTCGCTTATGTCCTCGAGCGGATCCAGATACCAGGTATCTACAGGAGCACCGGAAACATCTTCGACGAAAGTTTTCGACGATTCCGCTCCCTGCGGAGATGGGGCCTCGGGAGAGGGTGCCGCGGCTCGGCTCCTATGCGGGAATTCCGTGTCCGGGCGTGACGGCGAGGATTGCAGTGGAACATGTGGGAAAGGGGGTGAGGGGGAGAGAGGTGGTGGGGAGGGCCAGGGCTCAGGGTAGGACCCAGGAACAACTGCTTCAGGGAAAGGAATGAAGGACAACTCACTGTCCGATGCTTTAGGCTCAGACAAAGCATGTTCACCAATCGAACGGATGGGCTCGGAGTCCTGAGTTTCGGGGGGTTCCTGTGCGGCGCTCGTTTCCTCGACGACGGATTCAGGCTGGGACGCTTGTTCGGCATCGATCGGTTCGGTTTCATCATCAGACGTTTTCCGAGTAGGCTGTCGCGTCGATCGACGAGTCGAGGTCTTCCTGGTTCGAGTCTGAGTCGTCGGAGCTTCCTCTATAGATGCTATTACGCCATTGCCGGCACGTCGACTACGGGAGCGGGAGGTGGTCTGTGTAGAAGGCTCGGCGCTAGACTGTCTGGCGCGTGCCCTTCTGGTGGATCGAGTACTAGACTCTGTTGCAGGCTCAGCACTGGGCTGTCTAAGGCTCGCACTCCTGGTAGATCGAGTAGCAGGTTGTGATGCAGGTTCAGCACTGGGCTGTCTAAGGCTCGCGCTTCTCGTCGATCGAGCGGTTGGTTGTGATGCAGGTTCGGCACTACCCTGTCTGAGAGTTGCAGTTCTAGTAGATCTCGTCCGACGAGGTTCGGATTCAAGAGCGACGAGACCGCCAGGCGAGAGCGGCTGCGAGCGAGTACGCATCTTGACTGTAGACTGCAAAGCAGAACAACAACCGACTGGAAGAACGGCACCGAGGCAGTGATATACCGCGACGTGATCTGACACGTGAGATGGGTCAAGCAGATTGCCTTTGGAGATGAAATTGAAATGAGACTTGCAAAGAGCAGATATCTTTGAGTTCAGAAGGTTTGCAGAGAAGATAAAGCGTGGACAATGAGTTGTGAGATGATAGTTGAGAGCTAGATGTGTTGTGGTGAGGAGAAAAAAAAGTAGAAGAGAGACGGGGGACGAGGGAATATTTGTTTGTTTTGATGTTGTGTTTGTGGGCTTCGCCTTGCACCTGCTCGAGGGTTAGCGACCTAGTGATATTCACTTACCAGGCGATGTTGATGCTGCTGTGAGTGGTGAATGCGCTACAACAGCATCGGCGCTCAAGTTGTGTTTGTGAGGGTTGCAAGTGGAAAACTAAATTCGGGGTGACGTTCCGGCAGAATCCTGGAGAAGGCGGTCAGATTCCTCCGCCCTTACTCCGCTGCTTGCTTGACTCCCAGACATCGCACAGAGCGAAATACATCATATTGTCCACATAGTAGGAGAGTGGCAATGGACATATAATAGAACTAGCTGAAGTCTCAGCACCGTTCTGGCTCTACGGACGTTGTTTCAAATGAGCCGTACACAGCAAGTCTGCTCATTGCAGCCTTGAGTACGAAGTAGAGAGCGAATACATCCATCCCTGACTTAATGGACACCTTACTACGGTGTTCTCCTCAGGTACAAATGACAGCCATGGATATCGATGAGGAGTTATATTTGTACATTGAGGTCTCTCTTATGTGGACAATGAGAGGGCCAAGCTAATCAGGAACAGCGCGATCACCTCAAAAGCGCTGGAGAGTGCAAGTGCCATAACATACACACGTGCCTCGGTGTAGGAACAGAAAATATAAATAAAATAGAATACAAGCGCGCCGGCAAACCTTTACATGCTGATCTCACCCTTCCAAGCAGCGTCCGACAGGCCGAGCGTTTCAATAAGATGCTGCCACCTTGGTCCGCCCCGTTCCTTCCTACGCAGGTACCGAAGCAGTTTCTGTCGCTTGTGAACCAGCAGTCTCAGGTTGCGTTTGTTGTGCTTGTCCTTGTTGGTCGATTGGAGATGTCTGGACAGGTTAATGATCTTTGCGGTCAGAAGAGCGACCTGGACTTCGGGAGAGCCAGTATCCGGTCCTACTCTGGGCGTCTTCTCGGGGTGGACAGTGGACGAATCGTGAGCGACAGCTGCGGGCTTGGGCGGGAGCATATTGTCGGTATTATGTCTTCCGAATGTATCAATGCATTTCTGTATAAGCAGACGAGTACGGTCTTTGGTGTTTCCGTTGTTGATATTGATGATACGGCTGATTGCTTCCTGAGCGTTTCGATGTTCCTCAAGATGTCTTTCTGCAGCCTCCTTTTCAAGTTGAGGGTCTGCCGTTTCCCGGTCCGGGTTTTCTAGCGGTGATGTCAAGCTTTTCGAGTATTCCAGCGCCTCCTGAAGTCCTTCCGGTGAAATAAAATGATTGAGTGCCGCATCTTCTGAGGACTGAGCCTTCGTGCCTTTCAGCTCCTCGATGAAAGGTGTAGGTTTGCTTTCCACCGGATCGCCAAGGGACTCTTCACGCTCTCGAGCAAGGGCTTGTTGACGAGATAGATTGGCAGCCTTGCGTTGACGGGACTGGGCCATTAGGAATGGGTCATGTCGCCGTCGCTCTCGAGTCTCCGCAGACCCGGCTCGTACAGAGGTCTTGGATGGGTTTAATGACAATGCGGCAAGTGGACTATGAACATGGGAAGACCCTGAGTTTGTCAGCTCAACACTCAAAAACATCATGAAGGGATAAGAGAAAAAATCTGTAAACTTACCTGCGAAGACCTTGAATATCGGCTGGGAAAGGAATCGTGGAGGCATATTGATCAATTGCCAATCCCTTGAGCCTGCTAGGTATCACGCCCTCAGCAATACTTTTGGACTTTTGATGCTGCTGAACGAAATCTCGAGACCGCCCGATCTGCACTAGTCCTAATAGGGAGTGCTACTTCACGTGATGCGGCGAGCGGATCGGAGCCTCAAAGATTACAGCGATACAGAAGAATTACGGAGGTGGTACAAACCAGGTAATTGACCTTACGATATCGGGTAACCCTAGCCCTAAAACTCACAACCAGCAAGCGAAATTCATCTCAGGCGCGGCGAGCAAAAGTTACATCTTTCGCGTCGGCCTCATCCTCCTCCATCACCAGCACGACAAGCGCCAGACGATTGATATATTCAAATCGCCGTCTTTGACAATATCAATCGACCAAAATGGCTCCCTCTCAGCTTCCCCCCATGTTCAACCCCACCCCCCAGGACATTGAGATGCTCCTCGCAGCTCAATGCCACCTGGGTTCCAAGAACCTTCAGGTTCACATGGAGCCTTACCTCTGGAAGACTCGTCCCGACGGTGTCAATGTCATCAACATTGGCAAGACCTGGTATGTCATCTTGAAAATTTGATTATCGGGACTTTCGCGGCTGGCTCTAACACGGTGATCGCGAATTTGTAGGGAGAAGATCGTCTTGGCTGCCCGTATCATCGCTGCCATTGACAACCCCGCCGACATCTGTGTGATCTCCGCTCGTCCCTACGGCCAGCGTGCTGTCCTGAAGTTCGCTTCTCACACCGGTGCCACCGCCATTGCCGGTCGTTTCACCCCCGGTAACTTCACCAACTATATCACCCGCTCTTTCAAGGAGCCCCGCCTCATCATCGTCACCGACCCTCGCACCGATGCTCAGGCCATCAAGGAGGCCAGCTACGTCAACATCCCCGTCATCGCTCTCTGCGACACTGACTCCCCCACCGAGTTCGTTGATGTTGCCATCCCCACCAACAACAAGGGTCGTCACGCCATCGGCCTGATCTGGTGGTTGCTTGCCCGTGAGGTTCTCCGTCTCCGTGGTACTCTGGCCACCCGTGAGACCGAGTGGGACGTTGTTGTCGATCTCTACTTCTACCGCGACCCTGAGGCCGAGGAGAACAAGGAGATTGCCGATGAGACCAAGGTCCCCGGTGCTGAGGAGATTGGCGCCGGTGCCGTCGAGTCCGGCTTCGCTGGTGAGAACTGGGATACCCAGGCTCCTGGTGCTGGTGTTCCTGGCACTGCCTTCGCTGCTGCCACTGCTGCGCCCACCAGCTGGGAGGCTGACGGCGGTGACTGGGCTGCCAGCTCTGCCGCTCCTGCCGCTGAGAGCTGGGCTGAGACCCAGCCCACCGAGGCCAAGTGGTAGATGATTTGAACTGGTGACAAGGGCAGCCGTTGAGGAGAATCAGTTTCTTTTCCTTACAAAAGTATGGCGCATTGGAGGGGGTTCCGATGTCTAGGCGACTGACGCGGATAATCATTTGCACGCTCCAAATGACGACAGAGGGCTCTTGAGAGACCTTCCGCCAACATCCCTTGGCATGTCTACCCTAGTCTCTTGTTCAGGAACTCGCGAAATGAGAAAAAAAGATCAAAAGAAGCTTTTCAACGGGCGCCTCACCATCTCACATCTTCTATACATCTCTTGGTATGCTACAGCGCAAACAAAAAAAAAATCCGTTTCATCAGTTACTCTTACTTCTGATTTCTTTACGCACCGGGGAGGAATTGCAATGTCAACCATTGACTGGCGCTTATGAGGGAAAGATATCCAGTTGTACTCTTATCAGTGAGCTTCTGGGGGAAAGCCCTGTGCTGTCAATTTACAAGGTGGACTTAATCGTTACCTTGGTTTCTCCTTGTTGCTAAGTAAATGGAAATTTGTGCTACCGAGCTATTCTGTGCATTGTATCAGAACTACCTTTACGTATTCGTCAAGTCGGCAAGCAGTAAGTCGCTTCATCTAGGAGTAAGACGTAGACAACGCCCTTTGCGCGGATTCGTTTGTCCTACACGAAAATCCCCTACACCAGAGAATCATTACTGTAGAAGTAACTGAAGGTTCAACATCTAGCAGACCACGCAGCCTCCCTCGGTTTGGGCCCCAGCCTCTGTCGTTGTCATACCCGCCAGTCTGGCCAGATCCTCAAACGTCTCAGCCATAAGTTCCCCAGTGACAGCGGAACACTCCGCATATCGATCACAGCGTAGCTCTTGCGCAATGCGGTACGGCTGCATCTATCAGTCGCCTAACTCTCCATTGATGCCGGCAAGCGGCTCGTGGGGGCATTATATAACTTACTTCTTGCGGGTAGATGACGCCCTCGCCCTCTTTTCGAAGGTCCCTCTTCAAACCCACCATCATGACTGGTATACGCTCCCCGATACCACGCTGGAAATACCGTATCACATCGTGGCGCCACTTCAGGCAAAAGATTGGCTTAGCATGAGTCATGGCATATTGGTGGGCTGAACAGAAACAAACCTTCTTGAGCCCATCCAGCGTCTCCCGGTTCGAGATGTCGAATGCCAGGAGTACCACGTCCGGCTTCAGGGTTGACCAGTGCTGGTTCGGGCTTGCGGTGTCATACAGCTCAAGCGTAAACGACTTCTTTGAGAAATGGATGTCGAAGAGGAGTGGCTGATCACTATCTCGCAGCAGGTCCATTTGCCTCCTTGGCCCGTGATTGGTTTCATCTCTGGGTCTTGCTTGGATGTTTTTTATGGCGCTGCAGAACTTCAATCAGCATGAACCTCAATCCAATAATATTCAAATTGATGCGAAATGCCCTTTCAATAAATTAAACAATGGAGAGTCTGGCTTACGATAGAAACGTGGACTTCCCGCATCCTGGGTCTCCCAGCACCAAGATGGTCACCACTTCTTTATCTTGAGGACCTTCCATGTCCACAGACAGATATTGAATTCGATCAACTTTTGATCATGTGTTTAGGCGGGTAAAAGCTTGAGAGGATGTTATTAGGTGTCCCATGATGTCTTGAACCCGGTGTGTCCATTTTTGTCCGGGTAAGATAAGAGTTCGTGGGGGAATATATAAAGCAAAGCGCATGCCTATGGTATCATCTTAATAGCATGACAAGACGACATAACCATTAAAACACCAACAACAAGAGATTTTTCCGGATTTCTCTTGAAGTTTTCGAGTACACCTGTGATTATCATATCAATTACAAATCATGCGCCACGATTCTTGGCTTCATGGGCGCTGTCTAGCTTCCGACCATGCTCGTTGTAATTACATTACCATTTAAATACAAGCGGAGGGCGAACTCTAAATTTTTGCTTGATGCATCGTTTCCCCCGGATCTAGAGGATTCAATATACCTCGTCCAGCATCGTTCGGGGAATGTGGAGAACTCCAGGGAGGCCCCTGTCTACGTTGAGTCGCATCACAGACTCCAATCCAGTCAAGATTCACTGTCGATATCCCCATACCCGATCCGTGAAGCGCAGTCGCGCAAAATCGAACACCATGCCTGGCCCCGCGGATGCGCCTCCCGAAGGCCAACCAGACTATTCAACCTGGACGACCCCCAGTCTAATTGCACGGATCACAGAGTTGGAGCGCCAGCTTCACTCCCGAAACACCGAGTATGCTGCTCTGCCGTCTAAGGGTGTTAGTGAGGTCCCACCCTCTGAGCATCCGGCGACAGACACACGAGGGCTTGTTCCCGCCAAAGCAGGGAAGCAAAAGAGACCTCTATCGCCTGAAGATGACATTACTCACAGAAGAGCGCCTACCCGTCCTCCGAAGCAACCTCGAGAGATCGACCCATCCAAATACAATACTCGCTTCATAGCGCTGAAATTCGCGTATCTGGGACAGCGCTACAATGGTTTGGAGCATGCGAATGGGAATGTCACGCCTCTACCCACCATCGAAGAGGAGCTGTGGAAGGCCATGCGGAGGACTCGGTTGATATTCCCCAAGAACGCGGAGGCCTTTGATGATTCTCGGGCCCCCAGGAAATTGAAACCTTACGCAATCAGCTGGGAGGGCTGCGATTACTCAAAGGCCGGGCGCACTGATCGTGGTGTGAGTGCCTTTGGTCAGGTCATTGGAATTAGAGTACGAAGCGCGAGGCCTAAACGGCCGGATGCGGAGGCAACGTCCGATGTTGAGATGACATCCGGCGCCCATGCCGGCGAAAATTGGGATGACATTGCAGATGAAATACCCTATATAAGTATGCTGAACAGAGTGCTTCCAGACGATATCCGCATTCTAGCCTGGTGCCCCAACCCCCCTCCAGGTTTCGACGCTCGTTTCTCGTGTCGAGAACGCCAGTACAAATATTTCTTTACCCAGCCTGCTTTCTCTCCAACGCCAGGGCCCCTGGGTTTTGCTATGCGGACATCAGGTGACAAGAGTGCCTCTGCACAGTTACGGGAAGGCTGGTTGGACATCGATGCCATGCGAGAAGCTGCCAAGTACTTCGAAGGAGTGCACGACTTTCGGAATTTCTGCAAGCTCGACACAAGCAAGCAGATCGAGAACTTTGAAAGGATCATCTACCATGCAGACATCGAGCTCCTCGATCCAAAAGATCACCCTTTGGGCTATGTGAACCAGCCCGGCTTCCAAGCTCTCCAGAATGCCGCTCCCGCAACGGACGCCGAATTACAAACAATCACAAGGTCGGCCGCTGCTAAGGTGTATGTATTCAATCTGCACGGGTCTGCCTTCCTATGGCATCAAGTACGGCACATGGTGAGCATCCTTTTCCTGGTCGGCCAGGGACTGGAGCCTCCAACTATTGTACGTGATCTGCTGGACGTGTCGAAAAACCCCTGCAAACCAACGTACGAAATGGCGTCTGATGCCCCGCTGGTCCTCTGGGATTGTATCTTCCCAGACGAGGCAAGTGGCAGCCGTAAAGATGCATTGAACTGGATCTACGCTGGAGATCCCAGGCAGTCCAAGAGCCAACTAGGCAAGGGCAGCGGCAAGTTCGGTGTTGGAGGAGTAGTGGATGGACTTTGGTCCGTTTGGAGACAGCGGAAGATGGACGAGATTTTGGCAGGCGCGCTGCTAGACCTAGCTGTTAGCCAGGGTGACCAAACAGTTATCAGCGGCGAAGGATCCCATGATCCCGTTTCAGAGAAAGAGAATCGGGGACAAAAGGTTTTCTATGGCGCCAATGAACCCAGAATGGGCGGCAAATATGTGCCCGTCATGCAGAAGCGGAGGACAGAGCCTGTGGAGGTTCAGAACGCCAGGTGGCTTGCGGCAAAGCAGCGAAAAGTTGAGAAGGCTCTGGAGCCTGCGCATGGGGGTGATTAGAAAACGAAGGCTTGAAAATACCTTCCTAAAGCATATAGAGCATCGCATCATAGAGTGGGCCTGCCCAACCAGATCCAGCTCAAATTATCTCATGATTTGGCGTCATATAAGCAGCGCCGAGAACCCCTCCAAACCTCTTCCAGGATTGCGCGCCTCGGTAGAAGTTTCTTTCCATCGTCTGTAAGCGTAAATCAACCTTGCTGGTATGGAGGGACCTACAGGAAAAACCACAACGACGTCCGGTTCGCCCTCCACAATCACGGCGAGGTAAAAACGGACTTCAAACCCTTTAAACGCCTCATGAATGACTATATCCTGGATCTGCCTCGTGGGGATGAATCTCGTCGCAGCTTTAGACAGATAAGTCGCAGATGAGGTAGATGTCTGGATGCCCAACCCGCGGATGACCAAAAGGGATTCTTCTGTATTTATGAAAAGGGGTGAGTCTTTGGTGCGGCAGTCGTCCACTCCGAGGGATTGAAAATACCTGTATACCCCTTTCTGAACACACAGTACAGCAGCAATATGCTCACCGAAGCGACAACTCCAGACCTATATGCATCCACAATGCGACAGACAAAAGAGCCCAATGGGCTCGACCAGACCGCCGTCCATCGCACGAGGGAACCATCTTCGTGAAAGAATGAGTGGCGCACTTTCGCAATGTCACAGAAGACTATGCAGAGAAAGAGGAGGGCGCGCAGCAAGATTTGGAGGTAGAAAAGCACTCTAGCTGGCGTGCTCGTATGCTTGGATGCGTTGGAAACAGTAAATGACACGGTCGTCGGAGATGGACGCCGCAGAATCAGGTGAACTGGCATCTGTAACGAGGGTTGTAGACCTCACAAAGGGATTGACAGTCCAATTGAGTCCATAGGACCTGTGACTATGCGGCGCAATCAAACGGCATGATCCGGCGAGGAGCTTCGAGAGCGAACGATGTAAGTCATAACGCGATGTACGGAGTAGACATGCATGGATCTAGAGTGAGACACAGACCACTCTTAATTGCTTGGATGATGGATCCCACGGTCTAAGCTATTTTAAGTCTAGTCTGTGTACAGCTGCCCGCCAGGCCGCCATACATCATCACGTGTCTGTCCTGCAGCACCTATGTTACCACAGCGGTCCCACTCCTTCCTAATATTCATACCTCGATTCTTACCATGGGTGACCGTTCAAGAAGCAGATCACCGAGAAGACGATATGATGGGGATCGGGACTGGCCTCGCAAGACTGGAGGAGGGTTTCGGTGGAAAGACAAACGTCACGATGGTGACAGACCCGGAGCAGAAGATAGCAGGCTGAGCCGGGGTTATAGAGACAGAGGAGACCGGCCACGATCACCACGAAGGGAACGGGACTCGGATCGATACAGAGATAGTTACAGGGATGGCGATCGTGATCGCGATCGCGACCGAAGACGACCAGACGATAGTCAGAAAGATGAGCGCCTGGAAAAAAAGAAGGAGAAGAAGCCAGAGAAGAAGGCTGTTGTCGCACCACAATCCTCAGAACCTATGATTGTGGTGCATGTCAACGATCGTCTGGGAACCAAGGCTGCGATACCATGTCTTGCATCTGATCCTATCAGTTCGTTGCCTATCCTGTTTCTCAGCTTCCAAGTGTGGTCACGCTGGGCTAACAACAATCTCATTTACAGAGCTCTTCAAGGCCCAGGTAGCCGCACGTATCGGACGCGAACCACATGAGATCTTACTCAAACGCCAAGGCGAACGACCATTCAAGGATCAGCTCACATTGGAGGACTATGGAGTCAGTAACGGGGTCCAGCTTGACCTGTGAGCAATCACTTCCCCCCCTCTCTACTTCTTTCGCCATCGCGATTTACCAGGAAGAAGCATGACACTGACTTGCGGTTTATAGGGAGGTTGGAACAGGCGAATAAAAGTTGCATTGTCTTGGCCGGAAGGCCGTGCGTCTACATTTCTTTCTCTGTGTTTTTACCATGGATTTCATTTGGGCAACGACTGGGACTCGGAGTATTAGGTATCATCATGAAAGTACTCTGGCATTTCAACTTTCGCTTCTTCTGGCCGGTTTCTTTTTATCTTCCAAGTTTGCATGTACCTACCGGCAAATGACCATGCTCTATTTGTAGTGCATCAGGCTAGCATGTCGTAACAGAAAGAGCAGGACGCTGTTTTTTCTGTGCTGGGGATGATAGCAAGAGTGCTGACTAGCTGGTTATTTGCTGGATGATGTGTTTTGGATCCCGTTCATTTCATGGATTGAGTCATGCTGTTTGTTGATATTTATCGTCATCATCATTACTGCTCTTCTGTGCCTTTCTGCGGGGCATGACGGGATCATCTCTGCCCGCTTGACCCGATCAGGCAATTTTCTGCCTGAGGCATACAAAGAAAAACCCGAGACAGCTACCAAGGCGAACGGTTCCACTGGCGGAGAGGCATTTTTTTCTATCGCGGGACTCACACGACCTGCCTTTCGATTTCTTCCTCCACTACTCCAATGTCTCCTCTGTCCAATTCGTTGGGCTCTGTCTACGCTCTTGATTCTCCGCCATGAGGTAGTGCTTGTCCACCCTCGCTTCAAGTTTACAATCTCCCCTCTGAAACCCGCTTCTCTACCGTTCCGTTCTCACCGATCATCTTTTTCTTGTCAGATTTCCCGCCTCTTCGGACACTCCAGATTTCTCTCCGCTCTCGAACCATCCAATACCACCCTTGCTTCTATATCCCTCCGGTTTTCCAAGGTCCGATCAGAACAGTCAGAACAATCAGTCATCCGAGATGGTTCGGAATATTGTCGTTATTGGGGGCACCTCCCACCCGCAGTTGACCCAGACGATCTGCAACGTCCTGGGTATCCCCCCGGCGGACGTATTACTTTCCAAGTTCGCAGTGGGGGAAACTCGGGTTGAAATCAAAGAGTCTGTCCGTGAGAAAGACGTCTATATCATTCAATCTGGCGGGCTGAAAGTGAACGACTCCCTCATGGAACTGCTCATCACCGCTTCTGCCTGTAAGACTGCCTCTGCCAAGAGAGTCACCGCCGTCCTCCCTTTGTTCCCATACTCTCGCCAAAGTGATATTCCATACAACAAAGCTGGGGCGCCTCTTGTCAAATCATCTAATGCTGGAAAGCCGGGTAATGGCTACACTTTCGAGAGCACCCCACCAACCCCGCACCCTGGAAAGCCGGAGAGTGGAAGTCTTTTGAACAATGTCGATAGCCTGCAGAAAGGTTTGGCAAAGGCGCAACTTGATGATTACAACAACGGCAGCCCGGTCAAGAGACGCCTTCCTAATGGACCTCCCCGCAGTGACACCGCTGACTCACTGAAGTCGGACATGAGTCTTCGATCCACTGTTGTCAATGGGCTGGCGAATGACGACAGTGTTCAGTCCAAAATCAACAGCTTTCAGCCTCGCCCTGGCTACAAGCAATGGGTGGCTCAGGCAGGTACCCTGGTGGCGGATCTTCTCACCTGCGCTGGTGCAGACCACATCATCACGATGGATCTGCACGACCCTCAATACCAAGGATTCTTCGACATCCCTGTCGACAACTTGTACGGCAGACCGTTGCTCAAAAGCTACATCCAACAGAACATTCCGAACTACAAACACGCGGTCGTAGTCAGTCCTGATGCTGGAGGTGCCAAGCGAGCGACCGCAATTGCGGATTCTATGGGAATGGAATTTGCTCTCATTCACAAGGTGCGTTTCACTCAATGACTCTGTGGGATGCTCATGCTGACTATGTGCGCAGGAACGACGCCCAACGAAGATTACAGACCGCCAAAATGCTACCATGATGTTGGTTGGTGATGTCAAGGATCGGACGACAATTCTGATTGATGACCTTGCCGATACATCCAACACCATTACGAGAGCTGCAAAACTGTTGAAGAAGGAGGGCGCATCCAAGGTCTATGCCTTGGTCACGCATGGTATCCTGAGCGGCGACGCGATCGACCGCATCAACGCTAGCTCTCTCGACAAGGTCGTCGTTACCAACAGCGTCGATCAATCGGAGCACTTGCGCCGATGCCCCAAACTGGAAGTTTTGGAAGTTGGCCATGTCTTCGCGGAGGTGAGCTGCTTTTCTTCTCTATTTCAATGCGAATCTATTCTAACGCTATGCAGGCCATTCGCCGAGTCCACCACGGCGAGAGTATCAGCGTACTTTTCCAATACGACTGAACAAGGACTGCATATCTCACTGCTTTATGGCGGTTATGTCTCGCATATGAAAGATATTCCATGAAATTTTGAAAATTTGAACGATGAAGCGAAGCCGTATTTTGGGTCTTTCCATTTTCTCCGCCTTTGCTTTTGACATAGATGTTGGTTTCTGCTATCATATCTCCACCTTTTACCAACTCTTATGAAGCCTACTATTCCATCCTCCATATACCTATCCATTGAATATACGCGAAGACCTCCGCAGGGCAAACCCATGAGCCTTGAAATTACGCCCCTATATGAGACCAGAAAATGGAGTTTACTGCTTGGATTTGCCTCTTTTGTTTCGTGTCGTTGATTTGCAGCTGCAATCATATATTGCAGGTCGTGGATGACACGATTATGCTTCTGTATCTTAGGAAAGATTCACGAATCAGGACACATTGATTCTAATTTCCGGTCAACCTATTATTCGTTACACTTCAGATACCACTGGGTACTTTCGATATTGCATGCCCTCTGCTTAGCAAGGGCTGTTGTTTACTTGTTTCTTGCAGTTGAGGATGTCGCAAGCTAGTTAATCGAAGCATTGACGCAAACAAAATATACCTATGGGTTTGAATGATGAATCAATCATATGTTCGCTATCTGGGCCATTACATAAGGAATGTTCGGGTATTGACAAGCTTGGAGAAAGCCTCTCCAATAAGATATTATCCCTTAGCCCTGCTCAAATACTACCAGATATGTGGATCGAGCTTACGACGAGGGTGACCTGTGCTGGGAGCACATTCAAATCCCATTTCAAATAACATGCAAGAAAGGTACCTGAACAACTCAGGCTTAAGATCAGATGTGTTCATCTATACTATATCACAAGGAACAGATCCCCCAAACGCCGAGGCAAGCAAACAGAGACCAAGATGAAAAGAACTGGCAAGGGTATGCCCAGCGAGTTTGCGGCTCATAGGGAGGGTACTTGACTGAAGCCAACAGCCCAAAAATCAGACAACAGGGTCATTGAAGCTAGGTACAATAATAGAGAGCAGGGATCGCGATGAAACGATATGGGAATAGGCGTAGCATCGAAAGACGGAGAGGACAGGCTAACAAGGAGATTGCAAGGAGCAACAAAGCTTAGAAGACAGAAATGAAATTTCCGATTCTCTCCTTCTGGTTCTGCGCGATGCACTCCGCGATCCAGGTGACGTTTCGGATTTCCTGCGAACCATGTCAGCTGTACTGTGTACTAAATGTGGCCATTGAGCTTCGGGCGACGAACCTGTTCCTTGAGGCGCATCCACGCGTATACCACCGCCGGGGTGAACTGGCGCGTGAAGACAATCTTACACAACTCCATTTCCTTCTGGTAGAAGAGATCCTCCAGACTCTTCCCATCTGAGCCGCCACCCATCCCGAAGCCTCCACCTCCGCCCTGGCTGAGACCAACTGCGTCGAAGAAGGCCTTGTAGTCGCCATTGACGCTCACGGCCAAAGACACGCCTTCGAGGTCGTCGGCGCGGGACAGCATCAGAGATCCCTCAGGGTAGAGCTTCCCGAACTCGGGGTACAGCTTCCTCCGTTCCTGCTTCGAGAGCTCGGTGCCGAATGAGTTCAGGGTGATGTTGATTGCACGACGGTCAGCCTCGAACTGCAACAGCTCAGACATGACCTCTTGCGTAGGAGTGCCATTGAAGTCCGGATGGGTGTTGACGAAGTTGTGAAAGTCTTCAAGGTAGTTCTTATAGAGCGTATTGCGCACGATTTCGATATTCAGTTCGTCCAAGTCCTGGTGGCTGAGACTCCCCTTAAAATAGTCCGCCAATGGTGTTTCAATCAGCACGGAATTGTACAATTCCTCGATGTTGGTGGCGACGCATAGCACCGGCAAGGTCTCGAACCACCCCAGGGGATGGCATCGCTCCAGGAGCTCTCGCGTGTCCCGTTCGTGCAAGGTGCCGGTGATCAGAAGAGCAATGTTGTCGATCATGTATCCGTACGTCAGGTATTGTAGGAACTTGGCGGTAGACCCCGTGGCCTGGGCGAGGAGGTATCGGAATTCAGCTACGAGCTTGTCGGTCATCTTACCGGCGAGGGCAGATGTGGAGGGGTTGGGAGGTAGTGCGGCGAGGAAGTCGCCATAGGCGGGGGCGAGTTGTAACTTGACATCTGTGCTCAAAGCATGTTAGACCATATGATACTGGCAGAAGAGACGTCGAATCCACGGACCATCGATGTTTTCGCATTGGGTCAAGTTGGAGTAGTTCTGGCTATTGAGCAGACTGTTCCGATACCCCCGGACAATCCCCTCGATGTAGCTGTCCACAATCAGTGATCGATGCAATCAGACTATGAGCAGCTCAAGAGTCAGCCTACCCATTGTTAACGTTGAAGAAGAGACCCTCCATTTCGAAGTGCTGATAGCTACCTGGAGGTTACCTGAGCCTCTCCGCAGACCAACACCTGGAGCTGTTTCTGCCACACCTGCCGCTGTATTATGTAAGCAGACACGGCCACACAGTGCACCCGCCACAGGCATTGGTGGCTTGGGTCGCTTTTTTTCAACTTTTTAGTTTTCAATGCAAAAATTCCCGCCAACTGCCAGAAAAATTAACTAAACCTCCAGCACGCCCACGGTGGTTTCGCCCACGGTCGCTGATACACTTTCGGCCGTTTCTTATTTTTACCTTTCAGATACTCGATTTATTTTTGAGCAGCTGAGAGTCAAGGCCGTGCACCATGACACTCTTTATCCTTACCGAAACCAGCGCGGGCTATGCCCTGCTCAAGGCGAAAGACAAGAAGCTTCTGAAGAGAGACGATCTGGCTACGGAAGCTTCTACTGCAGAGGGTGTTTCAAACTTGTGAGTGACTATTGTCATGTCCTTGTCAGAGATTTGATTGATGTTCAATTCTTGCATGGGCTTCTACGAGCAAAAATTTTTCTCCACTCTCAAAACAGTACTCTAACACCGTAGTAGGGTGAAATTGAAGAGCTTCCAGAAATTCGACAGTGCTGCTACGGCTCTGGAAGAAGTCGCTTCGCTTGTGGAAGGAAAGGTTACTCCTCGCCTTGCCAGCCTGCTGGACGAGATTAAAGATGAGAAGAAGGTTTCTTTGGCCGTTGCCGATCCCAAGCTCGGTACGTGACCTGAACATTTTTGAGAAGTCGAATTAGTCAGATTCTAATCCTGTGTCCCCCGACAGGCAACGCAATTGGCAAGCTTCCCGGCATGTCTATTCAATTGGTCGCGGACTCGACCACGACCGACATCTTCCGTGCTATTCGCGAACATCTCCCCACACTGATTCCTGGTCTTCTCCCCCAGGACATGTCTACCATGTCTCTTGGTCTGTCCCACTCCCTCGCCAGACACAAGCTCAAGTTCTCCCCCGATAAGATCGATACTATGATTGTCCAAGCTATTGGTTTGTTGGACGACCTCGACAAGGAGCTCAACACCTACGCCATGCGTGTGAAGGAATGGTACGGCTGGCATTTTCCCGAGCTGGCCAAGATTCTGAACGACAACATTGCCTATGCCAAACTTGTGCTCAAGATGGGCATGAGATCGAACTGGGAGACCGCGGATCTGGCAGAGATCCTACCGGAGGAGCTCGAGGGCACCGTCAAGGCCGCTGCTGACCGATCCATGGGTACTGAGATCAGCCAAGAGGATTTGGAGAACATTCAAGCGTTGGCCGAGCAGGTTGTTGGTTTCGCCGAATACCGCCAGCAGCTCGCTGGTTACCTGACTGCCCGTATGAACGCTATTGCGCCTAACCTGACCGCCCTGGTTGGCGACTTGGTTGGTGCTCGTCTCATCGCCCACGCTGGTAGCTTGACAAACCTTTCCAAGAGCCCCGCCAGTACTATCCAGATTCTCGGAGCCGAAAAGGCTCTGTTCCGTGCGCTGAAGACCAAGCACGACACGCCCAAGTACGGTCTCATCTACCATGCTTCCCTTATCGGTCAGGCCACCGGTAAGAACAAGGGTAAGATGGCAAGAGTCTTGGCCGCCAAGGCTGCTCTTGGTCTGCGTGTCGATGCTCTCGCCGAATGGGATGACGATGCCACTGAGGAGGACAAGGCCGCCCTGGGTACTGAAGCCAGATACAACCTCGAGCGTAAATTGGCCGCCATGGAGGGCAAGCCTCTCAAACCTCGTGGTGTTGCCATCGGGCCCAACGGTGCCTCCGTGCAGCCCAAGAAGTTCGAGATCAATGAAGCCAGAAGATACAACGCGGACGCCGATGCGCTTACTGGCGACCAGCCCGCTTCCAAGAAGGACAAGAAGCTCATTGAGGAAGTTTCAGATGAGGAGATGGCCGACGCAGATTCGGACGAGGAACCCAAGGCCAACGGAACCAAGGACGATGACTCGTCCGACGAGTCTGAGGAGGAGTCGAGCAAGAAGCACAAGTCCAAGGGCAAGGATGCCGAACTTGAGAAGATGGCCGAAAAGGCCGGCTTGAGCGTCAAGCGGTACAAGCGCAAGCTGGAGCGCGGCGAGATCACTTTCGACGCCAATGGCAACCCGAGTGCCATCAGCAAGAAGGAGCTGAAGAAGGCCAAGAAGGAGGCCAAGAAGGCTTCCAAGGGCGATGAGAAGAAGCGTAAGCGATCAGACGACGGCGAGGAGGCCGACAACGGCGAGAAGAAAAAGAAGAAGAAGAAAAAGGGAGAGGAATAAACCTTGCAATGATCTGAAAAGAAAAGTTTACGTGGATCGATCGCTTCATCAATCTTTGTATGATATCACACATTGTGGGTTCAATGCTGCTTGTCATTTTGATTATTTTTTCCCTTCTTGTGAGAGTTACTTGTTTGGGTGGCATTTCAGGATGCGATTTTGCTGGTCTATCCATGGCGCAGAGGTGCTTATTGGTACAAGGCAGTACAATTCAGGAATAATATGTTCATATCAATTTTCACCAGTAGTCAGTAGACTCTCTATTGTAGCCTACCTTTCCCTAGTACTACCTCTCTAGTAAAGCCAATCAGTCAAACACAACTGGAAATATCACCAGACCGCCCATGGTCTATCTGCCGGCAGAATAGACACATCCCCGCCATCACCAACTTTTTCCAACCAAAGCACCCAGCACAAACATAGCCATATACCCAGAAATCACTCAATGCAGACATAGCACAAACAGACATTATGAGGGTGAGCTCTTCCAACCCACCACACCCACAATCCACCATATCTAACAGAAACTCGTACAGATCATCGACCCCCAAAGCGCCGTCCTCACCAACATCGAGGTCCTCGCCTATATAACCGCAAACCCACCCCGACGACCCCCCAACCCACCCCCCAACTCCCGGAACTGGGTTCCTAGTCCTGATCTCCGCGACCACAACACTGTCGTTCGAGAGGTAGGTCCATCTTACTGAAGCTAGAATAGACAGGTAATGCTGACAAGGGTAGATCCACAACTACATCCACCGTCTCTCCCCGCACGTCCTCAAATACCCTGCCTACATCCATGGCGAACCGCCGCAGTCGCAACAACAGCCTTCGGAGGCGGCGGCGCCCCCGACGTTACCGCCTGTGCAGCCGAGCACCCCCACTCCCATCGACCTGGCGCTCCGCGAGCTAGTCACCAGGTTGAAGCCGTTTGGGTTGACGAAGGGGGAAGTGGTTATGATTGTGAATCTGGGGGTGGGGCTGGATCCATCCTCCGGGGGCCCACGGGCTGATGGGGAGGAAGGGGAGGGGGGAGAGCAGGATGGGATGGAGGTTGATGAGGTGGAAGAAGGGAATGAGGGTGGGGAGGAGGCAGGCGGAGAACCAGGGGGTTGGGGTTTGAGCGAGGAGGATTACGGGGCGCTTGCGCTGCTGGATACGGTGATTGAGGAGCGGGAGGAGAGGTTATCGGAGGATGATGTGGCGCAGATATTGGCTATCATTCGGGAGACGTTAGGGTCGAAGGGGAGGACGGGGAGTGTAGGGTAGACGGGATTGGTGATACGGGATGACAAGGAGATCTACGCACGATTTTAAGGATGTAATGGTCTTGTACTGTGTCTATTCACTGGTCTATCTGGTATACGACTGGTATCTGGCGATGTAGTATCGCTTTTGCGGAAGGACAGAAGTCCAATGTGCTCGACCGATAATCTGGCCGATGTTCAAAATGGAAAGTCTAAACCAAATAGTCTGCGATAAATCGACTCCAAAACACCGAGAATGCAAAAGCGTCAGACAACGGACTGACTATATCAGACCGGCCCGGGAGCCGCAAGTGATATGTGCAAAAGATGTCAAAAATACATGCAGGGCGAGGAGACGGGCCATGCTCTTCGCTTCACTTGATCATGCTGTGTCGTAACTAGGCACGTCCAAACTCTTGAAGACAGGTAAAAGGGGGGACTCTGGCAGACTATCAATCAGAGTCCTTTGCCTTTGACCAGGCTGCCAAACCGATTGTAAACAGGCTCGTCCGGGTCCCCGCCTTCGTGTCCCCATTCCCCCAAGTCATCGTCGAAAACCTCTTCTTCGAAGCCCGTGCAGACCTCCGCATAGTCGAGCCACTCTCCCTTGCCCGTCCAAACGCCTCCCTTGCCGCCGCGCATATCCCACCAGTCTTGCCCTCCCAGGAGGGCTGATTGGGCAGCGTCGAATCCAGTAGGGCTACGCATGTACTTGCGGAGCAGCGCGCGAGCCCACGGTTGGTACCACATGTTGTACCACCAGGTATCTCGTATCAGCCGTTCGGGGTGCTTCACCGGCCAGGATTTGTCATCCTTGACCGGCTTTTCTTCGTCGAGATGGATCAGGGCCGGCACAGAGGCCGAGTGGATATGCGTCAGCAAGGGCATGCTATGCCATGAATGATTCCTCGGGTTCGGCAGAGCGTCAACAGTAGAGTTGAACTCTGGTTTGACCTGTTCGTCCTTGCCGAACTTGGGTTGGATGAAGGGATTGCCAAGTCTCGGACTGGCAAGATCGGGGGGAAGCAGCAGACGCCTCTCTCGAGGAATGCCGTGCTTCATCTGGACCGAAGATGTTATGGGGATATTGTGGTATTGGAGCCATTCGATATCCCCCATCGATTTGTGTGTGTTGAAGAATAGACGAGATTCGAAATCAACGCCGATTCCGTATTCGTAGCGATGACCTGACTCAAGGCGCGGGTTCACGCCCGTGACATTCGCAGCATCGGAAATGCCAATTAGTCGGTAAGCCCACTCCTGGAACCAGTTGGAACTTCTCCGTCTTTCTAGCTCTCGCACGTACTCCTGGCGTCCGTACATCTGGGTCAGAGCCAGGTAGTCACTGCGGTTGTGCCGGTTTTCCTTCACGAAGCGCAGTACTTCGGCGTATATTAACTTCAGGTCGGCAGCCTGGCCGATCACCGTACCGGGCTTCAGCCACCGTGGCCGGTTCAAGTGTCCCTCCGGATGAATATCGGTCTTCCAGCCATAGGCATCCGGGGGCAAGCTGGACTGCGGCACGGTGACGCACCCGGCGTCCGCAGTCATGCGGGGGAAACACTCTTTGCCTGCGGCAAATAGCACTCTCTGAGAGTATTTCTGCAAGGCCTCCTCCAGGCCGTTGCGGTAAGGATGATACTCCTTCGCAAGGCCGTATTTCTTTCTCAACTTGGCATTATTCTCTCTGAGGATATTCTGAAACCGCTGGATGAGCACCTCCGGCGGTAACTGGAAGAAAACATCATAGCCATCGGCGATGAGGACAAAATCGCCATCCCGCACGTGCGGGGTGTATTCCAGAAAATTGTATATGCCCGTCACACGGCCCACCATGTAATCATATTCGGAGGATCCGTCCGGGACCTTTCTGCCGTATTGGACTAAAGTAGGCGGGGGGTAATTCAAGATCATTGCGGAGGTTATTGTGCGACACAGGGCGGCGCTCTTCTGCCCAGCGGGCAATACAAGATGAAAAGAAGGGTTGTTTTTCTGCAGACTGTTCGGCAGAGTGTCATTCCGACTTAGAGCAGGTCCACCAGTATGGATCATGGGTGTGTCTTCGGGGCGGCCACCAAACGGGTGGTACGAGGGATACTTGAGCCAGTAATTGACGGGTGTCTATATGGAGAGATAGAGTCAGCTGTAGATCAACCTGATATAACCAGAAAACTCACCTGTCTAGAGGGCGCTGAGATAAAAACGTAAAGGAAAAAGCATGCGGCGAGTATGAGAGCGAGAGCCCTGGCCGGACGGGCTCTCGGTCGACCATACAGATAGATTCGTTGCAGAAGCGTCGTCGCCGTCGAGCACACGGATTTATACCGATCGCCCCAGGAGGTGGAAATGCGGAAGGTAGCCATTCTGGCCGAACTGTCGTCCTCTTCTGGCCCTCTGCAAGACCGCACGACAATCAATCGCAGTGTCAGCTCGAGCCGAGCGGAAAGGAACGTTGGTATCAACCACTATAAACGGAGGTCGTGCTCGAGATAGGCATTCCTGCATTGAGATATTCGAAAGCGAGCGAAGACGATGAGGGATGGGGGTTACAGTCGTAATAGTCGTCAATTGTGCGATTGGGGGGGAGGAGCGCTCAACAGTCAATCAAGCAATGTACCATATCGTTTGCGCCGATGGAACAGAAGTCAATGACGACGACACAGTGTAATGCGATAGCGTTTTGTATGTTGAGGCTGCAGCCGCTCCTACACAGCTCCAGAGGTCGTTGGTCCCTGATCAATCATCTGCGCTGCATTTGAGGTTCAAACATCAAGTGGAAGATAAAGCGCACGTTGCAAAAAGCCACAGACTCTCAGCAGGCATGGCGACTGTGGTACGACCGTACGGAGTACTCCGTGTGATGGATCATGGAGCATCCTTCCGGTGGAGCTCTCCTGACAGGATCCGCGGGCCATGATGCGATCAACCAACGCTGTGCCGTGTATGACTCTTATTATCTAGCTTGCCGTCATCTAATTTCGCTTCGGAGGTCATATCTAACATTAAACTCTACAAAGAGTTTCTCCCCTGTCCAGCAGGATTTTGAAGTCTATTGTATTGATTGTCTTCTATCTATTGCCTCTGACGCGTCATCGCCCCTCGTGGCCCGGATAAAAAGATGTCTGAGAATCAGAGACGATTGAATCCTGGCCAGGCTTGGCGCATGGGCGTTTCGTCCAGATCAGGATTTAGTCTAGCCTCGTCTAAATACTCCGGGCTGTCTAGATGGCCTCCGTGTGACAGTGTCCTGCTCTCGCAGACATCCAGTTATGCATCGCGAGAACTCCAGGTCTGCACGTAGGTATACACAATATTTCTCTGAATCTGTACACGGTCTGATGTACACTATAAGCGCATCATTCCAGGTATATCTCCTCACGCAGGCGCTGTAGATTCTTGAAGATGCCACCCGCCGGCCCCTCGCTTTCCTGCCGTTGATGGCCCATCGTCTTCCCTCTCGTCGAGGAGGATCGCGCTTGTGACTGATCCGAACTGCCCTGGTTCTCCAATGACCGGCGTCGGTCATCTATAATCTTCGCCAGACTATCCAGAAAACGATTTCGCGCCTTCTCTTCAGCGGAGCCCTTCCAGATTGTCGCCAATTCGCGTAGAGCTTCTAATCGCTTCGTAGCTGCATCCAAACCTGCTTGTCCACCACCATTGGTATTGAGCAACTCTGTAATCTCGTTCCGGAGCCTCTTTGCCACCTCCTGCCCCTTCTCCTCGAGACTCTGGCTCTCAGGCCCCGGTTCC